TTTAAATTATCAGTTAACTGGGCTTCAGACTATTCGAAATTCGTAACAGCAGTTGTCTAGAAATGGAAATTTCACCCTTCTGAATATTCTCTTTATGCTACATCTATGATTTTGTTTCGTTCTACTACAGTATTCTTTCAACAAATGGAAACTTATCCTTTTTTGTATGCGATCATTGGTTTGGCGGTAAAAATGTCGAATTTGTTCTACTCGCAGATAAGCACGAATGAAGAATAGCGCCACCTGGTGTCAAGTTAAGACCCTTAAGCCATCACGTGGATGATAGACAAAGTATATTCAGTGTCTTTCACACTGTTTTATAATACAAGTAATATATTTCTGTCAAAGGTTATTATAATGTGTAAAATAACTACCACAACGAATGATTATTTAGCAGAAAACTGCCTAAAACGTTATTACCATTGTCACTATTCAAAACTTTTAAGGGATTATTGTTAGTAATAAAAGATAAACCTTAGCTTTTAAAATAATCGAACGCCAAAGGATTAGATATGTGTAACGCGAAGGATTACAATAGTGGACGACAAGAAGAGGGACTGTGGAAGGAGTTAGTAACTAGGTCACTTTCATACAAAATTATCTAACACTTATTTTGCTCTTTGTTTGTGATCTTTATTAGTACGTATATTATTACCACACATAATTTTACAGAGAATTAACTGTTTGTTTGTTTTTAATTATGCACAAAACTACACAAGGGCTTTCTGTGCTCTGCCCACCACGGGTATCGAAACCGGTTTCTAGTGTTGTAAGTCCGCAGACATACCGCTGTTCCACTGGGGGGCAGGATTAACTGAAACAGAGGATTTTAAAATACAATAATTTGATTAGGGTATCAAAAGAAGTTTTATTTCAAAGTTTGTTTAGTTAGCTATAACCACAAAACTGTTGAAAAAATTAAATGAAATATAGTATAAAAATATCGTAGCATTATAAAGGTTCTTTGATGCGTAGGTTAACAGAACCAGTATAAACAGTTGGTGCGGACTTATAACGCTAGAAACCGGGTTTCGATACCCGTGGTGGGCAGAGCACAGATAGCCCACTGTGCAGCTTTGTGCTTAATTACAAACAAATAAACAAACAATAAACAGTTGGCTTGTCCTTAGGGTTCTATTTTCAGGGTCGTAAAGACGTTGGTTCGATATTGTCACTATTACAAAATATCTGAAAAAGTTTTCACAGTTAGTAAAAATACTACATTTACCTTGATGTCCTGACTTTTTGTTTCGGGTGGACGACTGTACTGGTGGAAATTTAAAATTTTCTTCTTGTTTCTGGTCGTCATAATCGGGCTGAAGGAATAAAAGCAATAATCAGAACTTTCTGTTATACGAAACATTATTCAAATGAGCTTTATAACGAAACAAAAAAAACAAATGTAAACTTGACACATTCGTGACTATCTTTATATTAAATGCAATATAGTTTTACAAAATAGATTAGGAAAGAAATAATGAAACTTGAGTGTAACAGGATACACTTCATTACTGTTTTAGTCACAAGTATCACTCAAGTGAGCCGGATATACTTCTACTTCATATGTATTATGAAAAAAACATTATTTTTGACATCGTATATGAACCTAGGAAACTGATTCTGTCAGAATCTTTACTGAACGACCTACATTTTATATAATATAATATAATTTTTATTTATGGTTTAGGGAGCTCGACTCGCAATCTGCGGGTCGCTGGTTCGAATCCCTGTCCCACGAAACATGCTCGCCCTTTCAGCCGTGGGTGCGTTATAATGTTACGGTCACTCCCACTATTCGTTGGTGAAAGAGTAGCCCAAGAGTTGGCGGTGGGTGGTGATGACTAGCTGCCTTCCCTCTAGTCTTACACTGCTCAATTAGGGACGGTTAGCGCAGATAGCCCTCGTGTAGCTCTGCACGAAGTTCAAAACAAACAAACAAACTGGGCTATTTCACATGATAACCATAAAGCACAAGAGCAGGGGGCTGAACTTATAGAGAAGAACGTCATTCTCCAAATACAGTTCTCCATACTTTTGCAATATATGATAATAGTGCGGGCCTCGAATCAGGCTTTCGAGGGCCTGACATGGTCCACGAACCTAATTTTGAAGACCACTGTGTTAGGCACTTTACATATTACTATAATTATTATTATCAGATCACACGAAGCTAAGTTATATCATATGTACTAGGTTAAAGCATAACCCTGGGAATTTCTGAATTAACTTTAGTATAATAAACTTTTCTCAAACCTTAGGCACAGAAATGTGTGACAAGTCACGTGGTGGCAGTTTCGGAGGTTTATCACGTGATTCACGTTGAGCACTTATGGAACGTGAGGACATTCCTGGATAAGGCACACTGTATGGATCCTCTTCAGGAACAGGAAGTCGAGGACCATCAAACATATTTATTAATGTGGGGGTGGTCTGTTTCTTAGACACTGGAAGAGGGGGAAAAAGGCATTACAATTAAACCGCACTGATAAAAGAATTTATGAAATATAAATTGATCATTCAATTTAGAGAAATTACGAATTTTAAAGTTAGAAGTGCATATTTATATGGAATTCAATGTACATAGTGTAAAGTTTGTTATTCTGCTACACCAAACTCTTCGATTGAACGATTAAAACCATAGTCATATTCAAGTCTGGTTTATGTCCATTTATCAAAATATTTCCTTCCTTTTACCTTTAACTCGTTGACAGCTTTACCTCCTGTTAACTCATTGAAAGCTTTATTTCACGTTATACTCCTGTTAACTCGTTAACATCTTTACCTCACGTTATACTCCTGTTAACTCATTGAAAGCTTTATTTCACGTTATACTCCTGTTAACTCGTTAACATCTTTACCTCACGTTATACTCCTGTTAACTCATTGAA